ATCAAAACTGAGAGCGGAGTTGGGTGGAGCTCTCTCACAAAATGAACTAGAGTTATGAAGCTGAGTTTAGGCAGCTTCACAACTCCACTCCAGATCCAACTCCTGAAGCTGAATTTAGAAGTTGGAGCTGTACCAAACAGGCCCTTAATAGTATAGTCCACTACTAGCTCCAAATCATCTATAGCCAATGTAATAACCAATTCATACAATAGTTACTTACTATACTATTAATACTAGGTCTCACCTGTCATACACATATTACGTCTTGGAGTCCGTGTTACAGCTGGCTGCAAATCTGTAGTCCGCTGCTCTTCTCTCTTTTCCTTTATCTTTTTAAAATATATTTATAGCTGGCTTATAGTCTGCTATTGTACCTACTCTAATTACCACTTGTAAGAGTGACAAATACTAGTTAATTATTCCGGGAAAAACAATCACCACTAATCCACTACTATACCACCAGGGCAACCAACAACCAAAACCCAACCGGCCAGACAAGGCAGGAGGAGGCCAACGAGCCAACCCGCCCCACACGTCGTCGACTCGGCATCGCGACCTCACCCCGTCGCCTACTCCATTCCAATTCCATTCACCCCCCCTCTCAAAGCTTCGAATTTTTCCTTCCCAAAAATCATCACCACCACCACCATCACCACCTTCCTCCTCCTCCTCCTCTTTCTTCTTGTTCGCGCGTAGCTGCACCACGCGTCCCCCGCGATTCGCCCCACGCTGCGCCTCGCACGGAACCTCCTCTCTCTCTGCTCGCCGCGCATTGCCGCCGCCGCCGCCGCCGCCGCAACCAGATTCCATCCGTGCGCTGCGCTGCGCTGCGCGCGCTTTTTTTTTTTGTTCTTTCCTTCCCGCGCCGCGCGCCAAGTTAAGTTGTTGGGAGGGAGGAGGAGGAGGAGAGACGACGACGAGTCGCCCCCGCGCGCCGCATGGATCAGGGTCTCCGGTGCTTCAGCCACCGCCGCCGCCGCCGCCTCGAGCTGCGCTTCTTGGGGTTCTGGGACCCGTGCGCCGCCGCCGCCGCCTTGGTGGGATCTCCGAGGCGGTTTCTCTAGGATTTCTCCCTCTCTCTCTCTCCCTTCCTTCCTCTTCTTAGCTGCGAGTTCACTTGCAGCTCCCAGCTTGTTGCGCAGCTGTGCGTGCGTGCGTGCGGTTTCCTTTGGGTAGGTGGGTGTGGGTGAGAGTGGAGTTGGGTGGCAGGAGGGGCTCGCAATTTATTGCGAGGTGTCTCCTCCTGGCCCAAAGGAGGGGGGATTTCTTTTCTCCCTGAATCTGAGCTGTTCTTGCTCGGAGGAAGAACAGCCCAGTGCCAGTTTGAGGACTGATTAATCAGCTGCTGATTTCGTTGGGTTCTTGTTTTGCTCCCAACAAATTCAATAATCTTGGAGCGATTTGAGGTCTCAGTGGTGGTGGTGGCCAAAGGCCCTGTTTCTGTTCCTGTTGCCCTCTTTGTCCTCCTGGGTTGTGGAGAGCTGCTCACTGATTTGGCTGTCAGTTTTGGGGCAATGGCCGGGGGGAGGAGGAGCAGGACAAGCAGGAGGCTCAAGCTGAAGCTCAGCGCATTGTACACCTTCGCGCTATGCAGCAAGGGATCCGGCGAGGACCATTCTTCGCGGATTGGGACGACAGGGTTCTCCAGGGTTGTTTATGTCAATGAGCCCGACAGGCATGAAGAGGAGGGGTTCAGGTATCAGCCGAATGAGGTGTCGACGACAAAGTACAGTTTGGTGACTTTCATTCCAAAGTCCCTCTTTGAGCAGTTCAGGAGGGTGGCCAACTTCTACTTCCTGGTCTCCGGTATCCTCGCGTTGACCCCTCTCGCGCCCTACACCGCTGTCAGCGCACTCCTCCCGCTGTGCGTTGTGATTGCGGCGACAATGGCAAAAGAAGGCATTGAGGATTGGAGGAGGAAACATCAGGTATTACTGTTCAGTTTTATATTTGATTCATGTCGTTATTAGTTCTGATATACAACTCCTAACAACTTAACTGATTGTTTCATGAACTACTTGGTGAGTCCAAACAATTTCGGTGTCTGTTTTCTTGCTTTTAATAGTGTTACCCCCCACTCATACACATCTAGGTTTGCATCACTAAAGGCAAAAGGCGTTGCATTATTCTATGATTATGGATGACACAAAGTAGCGATGTATTTAAAGCTAAATGATCTTTCTTTATATAATAAACCTGTGATTTATGGTTACGAATATGCAGAGAAATACAAAGTTCTTTTATCTACTAAAAGAATAAGTTTTGATTTTTATATATACTGGTATATAAATTTTATTATCCTAGAAGGAAGCTGGCAAACTGAGTTACCAAACACTTATCTCAGTCATAGCGCATGATTTATTTTTAGAAGAACTTTCTTTCATTTCTTTATGTGAATCGATCAATAATTGAGCTCATTTGGACATTATGAATTTATGGTATAACATGGCTAAAATTCATAATCATCTTCGTTTTGTTTATCTGGTTTAAATCTATTTGGAGTGATGGTCTTCATGCACACATGTTCATCTGAAATTTTACTGCGGTGCCCCCTGAACATTTAGTTAGCCAGGATATTCGAGTACATTCTATGTGCAATTGGTACATTAATTGGATATATGTAATTACTTCGCCCAGGATCATGAACTCAATAATCGGACAGTAAAGGTGCATAGAGGCGACGGCGATTTTGAAGAGAAAAAATGGAAGGATATCAAAGTTGGTGATGTAATAAAGGTGGAGAAGGATAATTTCTTTCCTGCAGATTTGGTTCTGCTTTCATCTAACTATCCAGATGGAATCTGTTATGTAGAGACTATGAACCTTGATGGTGAAACGAATTTGAAAATTAAGCAAGCTCTTGATGTGACATTGCATTTGGAAGAGGATAATAGTTTTGTAAATCTCAGGCAGACAATCAAATGTGAAGATCCAAACGCGAATCTCTATTCTTTTATTGGTACTATGGAATGGAAGGACAAGCAGTACAATCTGTCACCGCAGCAGCTTCTTCTTCGAGACTCAAAACTAAGGAACACTGACTACATATATGGTGCTGTGATCTTCGCAGGCCATGATACAAAAGTAATGCAAAATGCAACTGATCCACCATCTAAAAGAAGCAAAATTGAGAAGAGAATGGATAAAATCATTTATGTGCTAATGTCTTCACTACTCGTAATTGCATTACTTGGTTCAGTGTTGTTTGGTATCTGGACAAAAGAAGATTTAATGAATGGCGAGATGAAACGATGGTATCTTAGGCCAGATGATTCTACTATCTTCTATGATCCAAAGCGAGCAGCTCTAGCTTCTTTCTTTCATTTGTTGACAGCCTTGATGTTGTATAGCTACTTCATCCCAATCTCGTTGTACATATCTATTGAGATGGTCAAGATACTGCAGGCTCTATTCATCAACCAGGACATTGAAATGTATCATGAAGAATCAGATAAGCCAACTCATGCTCGTACTTCGAATCTAAATGAGGAACTTGGTCAAGTTGATACGGTTCTTTCTGACAAGACTGGGACATTGACATGTAACATGATGGAGTTCATTAAGTGCTCGATTGCTGGCATTGCCTATGGTCAGGGTGTCACAGAAGTTGAGAAAGCTATGGCTCTGAGGAAAGGGTCCGTTTTAGGTGATGGGATAGAAAATATAGAGCACACAGACCAAAAAAATGATGGAAGCCCTCACATTAAAGGATTTAATTTCAAGGATCCACGTATCATGGATGGAAACTGGATTCATGAGCCTAACAGTGATATGATAAGAGATTTTTTCCGTCTGCTTGCCATCTGTCACACATGTATACCTGAAGAGGATGAAGAAACCCATAAGGTTTCATATGAAGCTGAGTCCCCTGATGAAGCTGCATTTGTTATTGCGGCAAGAGAGTTGGGGTTTGAGTTTTATCATAGGGCACAGTCAAGTATAGTTGTTCATGAACGGGATCCGATCACGAATATTGTAAAAGATAGGTAAGTCAAATGCCTTTGTTTCCTTATTAGATAATTCTAATTCTAAATTTGAGACCCTTTTACATTCTTTTACAGAAAGTATGAGCTCCTGAATGTCTTGGAATTCAGTAGTTCACGGAAACGGATGTCTGTGATAGTTAAGGAACCAGAGGGAAGGATATTACTTTTTAGCAAGGGAGCTGATAGGTTAGTTCCATTTATTCTAAATTTCTGTAGCTTTTATTAAAGCTAACTTTTGTTCCTGTCCAAGGTTTCTTAATTGTTTTGCTACTTGAACAGTGTTATGTTCAAAAGGCTCGCACCAACTGGAAGAAAATTTGAGGAAGAGACTAAAAGGCACATAAATGAGTATTCTGACTCAGGTCTAAGAACCTTGGTTCTTGCGTACCGTTTCTTGGATGAGAATGAGTACATGAAATTTAGTGAGAAATTCAACACTGCCAGAACATCTGTAAGTGCTGACAGAGATGAAAAAGTTGAGGCGGCTGCTGAGAGCATCGAGCGAGACTTGCTTCTTCTTGGTGCCACCGCTGTTGAGGACAAGCTCCAGAAAGGGGTATGACCTTTTTAGAACAGGCTGTCTGTTCCAGCCATACTAAGATGCATTCTAGTTAAAAAAATAAATTTAACTAATATTTTATAGTGAACTAATGCATTAAGTTTCTCGTAAAAACAAAGATGCATTCTAGTGAACACTAATATTTGTCTATGTGCATGCACATTTAAATTTAGGTGCCCGAATGCATAGACAAGCTTGCACAAGCTGGAATTAAAATATGGGTCCTCACAGGTGACAAAATGGAGACGGCTATCAATATTGGGTATGTATCTTTCTTGCATTGGAGAAGAAACGTTTTAGTCCAACATCGGTATTTTCTGTTCTGATTCATGTGCTTCTTCATCTTCAGCTTTGCATGTAGCCTACTTAGACAAGGAATGACACAGATAATTGTTACCCTGGAAGCACCTGACATTATTGCATTGGAGAAAAATGGAGACAAGGAATCAATTGCAAGGGTGGGTAAATCATTGCATTACCATTATTTTTTGAATCATTAGATATTAAGTGTTTTATTTATAGAAGAACTGTAATTTGGGATGATAATATTCTCTCCAAGAGCGCCCAAATGTTGAAAAAAATTGTAGGTGTAACGAAACAGGCAGTTATATTTATACACGTTGTAATAGAAATTTAAAATCTTGATAGTTTACTCTTTATTGGCTCTCCAGGAATCAAAGCAAAGGGTAATGGATCAAATAGAGGATGGAATCAAACAGATTCCACCCCCAAGTCAATCAAATACTGAATCCTTTGCACTGATCATTGATGGTAAATCTTTAACATATGCCTTGGAAGATGATGTCAAGTTTAAGTTCTTGGATCTTGCTTTGAAATGTGCTTCAGTTATATGTTGTCGATCTTCACCTAAACAGAAGGCACTGGTCAGTGTTTTGTTTTCTGAAGTTCAGATTACTCTACTATTGTTTCTAGAAGTATGCATGTGAATACATTGACTTGATAGTTGGTGCAATAATTGCAGGTTACAAGACTTGTTAAACATACAAATAGAGTGACCTTAGCAATTGGTGATGGGGCAAATGATGTTGGCATGCTTCAGGAAGCTGATATAGGGGTTGGCATTAGTGGTGTTGAGGGGATGCAGGTTACAAATTTGATGCTTTGTGAATCTTGTGAACGTACTTATGCCTTATGCCCACTACAATGCTTATTTTATTAACACCCTGTTCCTGTTCTCAACGTTTTAGGCTGTCATGGCAAGTGATTTTGCAATTGCTCAGTTCCGTTTCCTGGAAAGGTTACTGCTTATTCATGGGCATTGGTGTTACCGTCGCATTTCAGTGATGGTATGCTTTTGTTATTGTTTCAAAATTACCTTTTACAATTCAAGCTTCATGTTGATTTTTTTTTCTGTGTGCAGATATGCTATTTCTTCTACAAGAATGTAACTTTTGGAGTCACTATCTTTCTCTATGAAGCATTTGCGTCTTTCTCAGGGAAACCAGCTTATAATGATTGGTTTTTGTCACTATACAATGTTATTTTCACTTCTCTCCCAGTCATTGCATTGGGGGTATTTGACCAAGATGTGTCTCAAAGGCTGTGTCTGCAGGTACCTTAATGTCAAAATGTTTGAGAAAAAAATTACTGTCTTTTCTGAATATTACAAAATTGGCAAAATATCTGGTATGGATCCAAATTACACAATGAACATATTTTCAGTCTCTTGTTCCTCTTTATTACTGTTGTTCCTCATCAGAGTTGATAATGTTCTACACCCTTCCCTACTCAAGGAGATATATGTAGACATTTATATATTGGTAGTTCGTGTGCATAGGTAGGTGGCTACTTGATCATGCGGTTATATATACCATCTAAATTTGGAGGATAATGATTTATGTTCTTTTTTTTTGGATTTTATAGTACATTTATTTGCTACCCGTCTCAACACATGGGACACACGCTAGTCTTAAAATACAAGAACATTTACCCCAGAGACCTTTCACTTTACTAAGCCTTTTCAATTGACATATGTTCTGCTTATTAATTTGCAGTATCCAGGGCTCTACCAAGAAGGTGTGCAGAATATATTGTTTAGTTGGCGCCGGATACTTGGCTGGATGGCTAATGGCGTAATCAATGCCATCCTAATCTTTTACTTCTGCACTACTGCCTTCGGTATCCAGGCATTCCGTCAGGATGGCCAAGTTGCAGGCTTGGATGCTCTAGGAGTCCTCATGTACACTTGTGTGGTATGGGTAGTGAACTGCCAAATGGCGCTCTCTGTGAACTACTTCACAATAATCCAGCACATATTCATATGGGGAAGCATTGCCGTATGGTACCTCTTCCTCTTGGCTTATGGTGCTGTGGACCCGAGGTTTTCGAAATCAGCTTACATGGTTTTCATTGAACAAGTGGCTCCAGCACTTTCATATTGGTTGGTCACACTTTTTGCTGTGATGGCAACACTCATCCCTTACTTCTGCTATGCCGCAATCCAGATCAGATTCTTCCCTATGTTCCACAACAAGATTCAGTGGAAAAGACACTTAGGGAAGGCTGAAGACCCGGAAGTGGCGAGACAATTGTCGTCACGACACCGGACATCGTCACACCAGAGGATGGTTGGGATCTCTGCTCGCCGTGATGGCAAGGCTATGCAAGTAACGAAGGAAACCGAATTACAAGTTCAGGGATAATTTTTTTTTCCCTTTAGATTTTGTATCCTGTACAGCTTATAGGATGTTATCTCCTGAAAGATGACAAAAAAAAAGTAGACTAATTGGAACTCAGGGACATTCTTGGGTTGTTGCTTCTATGGTATTTGTGGAGTTCTAGTTTAGACAGAGCAAGACCACAGTATTTAGTAGATAGACCACAGGAAGACCAAGAGAGCACCTACTGTAAAGTTCAATTTTAGGGTTGTGTATTCTTTTCACCTTTTCTTTTACACCTCTAGATGTATGTAACTTGATGGTAGAATTTCATTTTATTGTATGCCTTTTTACTCCCCCTTACCTGCTATCCCCTCAAGTGTATTGTAAACAAATAGTGGTAAGGAATTGTGATGAAATAATGGCTGGCGCCAGTGTTCTATTGGAAAGGATCATAAATGGAAGTATGTTGAAATAAACTTGTGAGTTTGGTCATTCTGATGTTACATTTGTTTTGTAGTAACTGATGACACTTTAAGCAGCTGTTCGTTTCTTGCTCTTATGTTACTTAGGAAGTCTCAAGTCTGTTCCTAAGTAAATCAAAATGGTGATGAGAAGGAAATTGCCATTCACATGGACATGAATTAACTTTGTTCCTTTGGGGAACAAGAATGATTAACATTTATTATTATACAAAGTTATAGACAAATCTTACAACAGTATTACCTGACAGTCTGGGACTACTGCTGCATCATATAATCTTATTTAAGAAAATAATGAATGAGAACTTAAGGCCAAGTTAAGCTTAAACCATCAACACCAACCAAAAAAAAAACAAAAGGTTCAAATGGACATGCAAAAGTGCTACAATATCTATCACATTCATATTATCATCATCTACAAGTCTCTTTTGAAATGTGAATTTGGTTTTGTCCCTACCAAAACTAACCTGCAAGCGTGTCTCGTGGTCACGGCTCCGGCACCGGCTATGCGGCCGGCTGCTTCACCTCCACCTCCTCCTCCGCCGCCGGCCTGACCGGCCGGCGAGGCTCCCGCCGCCACCGCCGCAGCCACCATCTCCGGCCGGCGAGCCCCGCGCAGTCGTACCGCTCGTCGGGCCCCTCGGCCCGCGCCGCGCACGCCTGTCCGACGACGCAGGACAGGACGGTCACCGCCACCACGGCGGCGAGCACCGCCAAGAACGCGCCGACCGACCCCGGCGAGCCGTGAAGCCGGGTCGCCGCGGCGGCGGCGCCGGACACCTCGTACCCTGGCAACGAGGGCGCCGTCGTCGCCGCCATTATTCTCGGTGATGCTGATGCTGTAAGTGCAAGCGACCACTCTGAGCTGAGGAGGTGACCATGAGTGGAAGGCAGTGAGCTGCAGTAGGAGACGAGAGGAGGAGGAGGAGGCTGTGTGCGAAAGCAATCACTTTCTTTTGCAATTTAGTACTAGTAGTGTGTGTGAGGCTGTGCTGCTGATGCAGCAGAGGATAGGGCAAAAATTAGACATAATCAATAAAGAGGTGAGGAAGAAAAAGGAGGGAAAAAGCTTTGAATGGCCAGCTTTTGTGTGGAAGAATTCAGTGGACACCAGCAGCATGAGAAACAAAAGGAGAAAGCATGAATGATAGATGATGAAGGAGGGATACAAAAGCTTGAAATCAGATGGTGTGGTGTGTTTGTATGCATGCATGCATGTATCCAGAAAAAAAAGAGAGGAACTGATCTGAACATCTGATCTAATCATGGGTGATGGGTGTGCATGCCAAGAACAACTGTTTGGATGGAGAGGAATTAAAGAAGAAAAGAGGGCTAGATGCCTGGATTGGATGATGGATGATTGGATGAAGCAGATCATCAGCCAAAGTTTGAACATGATTCCTTGAATAATTCTTTGTTTTGAAAAAAAGTCGAAATGTCTTGAATTGTGAAACGGAGGAAGGACAAAAGATTCCAGTCAAGATATTAATTATAGAAGGAGAAAAAGAGGGACCATTCAATAATTAATATTTTTAGTGGAATCTTCTGTTGTAAATTAACGCAGCTCTGCTTCAAATGTTCTAGCTCTTTGCTTGAAAATAAAATGCCACCCTAGAATCTTTGTAAACATGGTCCTTCCCTTTTCCCCTGCAAAGCTTGGCTGATGATATGATATTGACAAATGCATTGTTACCTACGTACATACAGATATACAAAACAGTATGATGTTTTGTTGGCTTCTGGCAGCTGACCGACGTATCCATTCTGGCAGCTAGACAAAGATTTATCCGTTCTTTCTGAATCAGGAGAACGTCAGGTACTTTATTCACGATTTCATTGGCAAAGCAGGGATGCTGGAAAACCGAGTTTTCTGAAGCTTTCCTATGCAGAACCTAGGGGCAAACCAAAAGCTTAAAGCCCAGAAGTAATCATGATGTGTTGCTTGCTTAGTGGGCAAGGTTACTCAGCTTTGTTCCATCCCTGCCGTCGTACGTTTTTCTAAGGGAAAAGTTTGAATTATACTCTGATTGGGCAAGTACAAATTACCCCCCAAAACCCGAAAACCAGACATCTTTCACCCTTAACTATCAATACTGGATGAAAACCCCTCCCCGAGCAGATTTGCAAGCAGTTTTGGTCCTGTGTGGTAGTCTAGTTAGTAATTCTTTTATTTAAAAAGACGATGGGACCCACCATCATATCTCTCTCCTCTTTGTATCGTTCCTCACTCACCCCTCTCTCTTATGCGTCAGATGCCTCCGAGGAGGAGCCCTGCGCACCGGTGGAAGCCGAGGACAAGTTGTGTGCCGGTGGTTGCGAGCGTCCTCGAGTGCAGGAGGTGGTGGTGGCGGCAAGCTTACGAGGCAGCCGTGGAGGAGGCACGCCCTGGCAGAGGCTGACGAGGTGCCGCCTACGCCGCTCGCCATCCTTGGCTGTCCTGAGCTCCGCCTGCCGCCTCGAGCTCCGCCCGCCACCATCCTCGACTACCCCTCCACCGCTGCCTCTCGATGACAGAGATATGGAGGTGCCACTGCTTGCCATCCTCGACTGTCTCGGGCTTCATCTGCCACCCCGAGCTCCGCTAGTCCCCCTCCGCTGCCCCGAGCTCCGCCCGCCGCCATCCTTGACAGAGATAGATGGAGACAAGGGAGGGAGAGGAGAGAGAGACAAAGAGAAAGAGAGTGGAGAAAGATAGAGAGGTGAGGGGAAAGAGAGGGTGAGAGATTGACAGGTGGGCCCTCTGTTCTTTTAAAAAAAAAGAACTGTTGACTGGACTGTCACGTACGACCAAAACCATTCCCGATTGAGTTAGGGGGTAATTCGTCTGGTATTACTAGTTGATGATGAAAGATGTCCATAGGCCGGTTCAGGGGAATAATTCGTACTTACCTCTTTTTTTCTAAATAGTTAATTGCACTTTGGGCTAGTAATTTTTATCCAAGTTTCATTTTGGATTAGGTGTGGACAAATCTTTTCACTTTGGACTATGTGATTTTACAAAAGTTTCAAATTGGCCTGGTCTTCTTCTCCATTTCTCCTCTTCTGGTTTTTTTTCTCCATTGAGATGCTGCCATGGATGAACCCGAGCAAGCACATAACTAGGATTTCTTCTCTCGAATCTGTTCCAGCGCTCAAACTCACGAAGTCAAGCCACAGGGCAGCTTGTTGCTGCAGCTGTTGCGTATGAGCTGATCACAATCATGTGATTTTTCTCGGCTCACATGATTTTGGTGGGAGAAAAAAGAGTCAAAAAGAAAATCAAGGTACTGATTTTTTTTCTCCATTGAGATAATGCCATGGATCAACCGAAGCAATCACATTCCTCCTCTCGGATCCGTTCCTGAGCTCGATCTCACAAAACCAAGCTCGCAATCAAATGATTTTTCTCATCTCACATTATTTTGGTGGGAGAAAAAGATCAAAAAAAGAAAATCAAGGTGTTGGATGATCAGAATAGAGTATTGATGGGTGTAGCAAAGTAGGTCAGAGGTAAGGAACATGAGAATGGTTCAATGTGCGATAGAAGGTAACATATCCTGGTCCAAAGTGAAAACATCAAATATAGCCTAGTCCAAAGTAAAACTTTGGCAATAATAAGTGGCCTAAAGTGCAATTCATTTTTTTAAAAACACAATACATACGTGCTCACGACACGCATACAAAAACTCACAACACACGCACACTCACTCGTACAAATATATACGCGTACACCGTACCCCTATGAACACATACAAAAGACTGATCTAGCATGCATACTCACAACACGTGCACATTTATTCCTATGAAGGTATACACTCACCCTATCCTTATGAATATATCCGAAAGACTAGACGGACATATCTTGAGGTTGAGGAAGTCACCCAAGCGCCTCGCTCTCAATGGGTATGTCATCTACCATTGAAAGAATAATTAGCTACAAAAATGGAGCGCCTATGTCAAGTCTAGGACTAAACTTGGGTGGATAGGTTCCACCACGATGCGCTCACTTAGCACAACCATACTTTATTTGGACAAATTATACACTACTATAGAATACCACATATATATTTTTTGACCGAGTTCATTTAAAACATACACCTATAAGTCTTTTTCAGGTATCCCAACCCCTCACTCGTGTCTAAAGTTAAAAACTTTCCCTATAAGTCTTTTCTAGGTATTATAGGTGCCGGTTTATTAAAAAAAAGGCACCTAATAATATAAGTACCATATTTTCTATTAAACCAGCACCTATGGGTGAGATAAAAGTGCTGTTTTTTAAATAAAAAATTTGTACATTTAGGGATGAAGCCGAGCCGAACCAGCTGGTCTTTAAGTTCTTTAAGTTGTTTTCCTTATCCTCTCCCTCACTCACAGCCCTCTCTCGCCCCTCATTCTCCGCCGCCTACACAACCACCTTGCCTGCAACACCTCCGCCATGCACCATGCCTCTTCCGCTCGTTCTCCTCCCCGTTTAGAGCGCCACCTCTTCTCGGTTGCCGCTGGTCCACCTCCTTGCCCGAAGCGTCTCTAGCCTCCTCTCTTGGCAGGGCTTCCTCTCTTCTTCCTCTCTATGGGAGACTGGAGCACAAGTGGCCTAGGCCGCTGCGTGAGTGGGAGGCGATGGATCTAGCTGCTGTCGCTAGTCCACTTCCCTGGCCCACAGCGTCTCCTCTTCCTTTCTATGGGAGATCAATACATAAGTGGGAGGCCGATGCGCAAGTAGGAGGTGGAAGTTTTGGCAGCCTAGAGCTCGGCCGCCGCCGGTCCACTTCCTCACCCGCACCGTCGCCCCCCCCCCCCCCCCCTTTCTTTCTCGGCGGGGCTCCCTCTCCTCTTCCTCTCTATGGGAGATCGATGCATGACTCGGTGGCCGTCTGGAGGTTGAGACCGTCATATTTGGCCACCTAGGGCTCAATGGCCGCTAGATCTGTCTGTCATGACGAGGAGGAAGACCGGCGGCTATGGCCGTGTTTTTTTCGGCGTCCTTATCCTCTCTGTACATGTTCGATTTTGGTATTGATATGTGGATTTTATTCCTAAATATTAATTCTGTAATTGTGTTATTGACTGTTGATTTTATTCTTGATATATACTCCCTTGGTCCCAAATTATAGTGCACCTTCTTTTTAAGGAGAATCAATCTCGGATTTTCTTCCTTCTTTTCCGAATCTGATGCCAAATTCTGTTGTTAACAGGATGTTGCTGGGCAGAGAGCTGGTAGCTATCTGCCTGGAAACAAAGCTCTTTGTCCATATTTGGCTGAAGTTTTTTTTTTGTACGATTTACTTTTTAAATAAGGTTTTGAAAAGGGTCAATCTGTGATGTTCTGCCTTTGCCCGATGAGCTTCTGGTCTATACATTACACGCTTCTAATGGACTTTATATATAGGACTTGGGTAATTTCGGTTAACTTAGAGGGATGACCGAATTAACTGGGATAAATTTAGTACAACTGTTGACTGAACTTTCTGGTTTTAGTCTCGGCCAATTTAGTTTGATCTTTATTATGACCACTAGCAGCGTTTGGCACTTGGCCACTTCGTCATTACACCTTGCCCCTACATCAAACAGCCACCGTGGAATACTGAACTTTATTAATAAAGTTAGCCCTTATTTCTGACCGCTACCAATTGCAGCAATACTAACTTTTGTGAATTACCTCTGCATCGGCTATTATAGTTCATACTGATATTTGTAGATTACCCTAGGATTTATCATTGGTAGTGATCCTAACTTGTACACACTACCCTGTTTTATATTGCCACTGTTTATAGCAACCTTAACTTTTATACATTGGCCCGTACATCTGAGTGTTCGATCGCTATCCGTATCAGCCCTTAATTTTGCATATAACCAATACCACTAACAATGGCTTCAAAGAAAAAGGTACCACTAGTCTAGAATTGCCTGGATACCCACTTTATGGGAAGCTTTTGTTCCGCAATAAAACACAATGGTAATAGTCTAGAATTTTGCAAATTAGCCCTTGCATCAGCGAAAAAGTTTACAGATGCTGTGGCTTGATGGAGAGAGGGTGGTCCAAGTTTGGAGACAGTGCACTTGAGTTTAGGTCAGCGACACTCATCACCAATTCACCATGCGCTCGAGCAAATGCTGAGTAATGACCCTGATTCACAAATCAGGTCACCGGCAAGCGGACTAGTCACCCACGAGCTTCCTAGCTCATAGGTCAAGCAGCAAATTATTACAACGGCAAATTATTACAACGGGAACAAGTGCTCTCGCGTCACCCTCCCCTGGGGCGGCACGGGAGGCGATGACCCGGCCGCCCCTCTCCTCCCCCTCCTCCCCTTTCACCTCGCCGCGCCTGAGCAGCCGCCGACAAAGCCGTGCAGCCGCAAGTACGGTGGCTGCGGGGCCTCTCGCCGACCACGCGCTCG